GTGTTTCTTCTTTTGGTTATATAAGTAGGCTATTTTCTACTGGTTTGGATTCTTTAATTCGAATAAATTTTATAACAATATTTGGTTCTCAAATTATCCTTTATATATTGTTTCTATTATTCTTCTGCGCTTTACAACTTTGTGTAATAATTTCTTTTATTAATCTTCTTTCGGTAATATGTCATCAACTGTTAAGCTCCTTTTTAATCATCTTATTTATAGGAATCAGTCTTATGATTCATTGGTTCGATTCCTTTGGGCAAGTTCATTACTCCCTAATTTTCACGAGCTTTATCTTCAAACTATTTCTTACTATGATTTCTTTAGAAAAGTTCACCCTTTCCCTCGTGATTATTTTCTTGGTAATTATAATTCTTCTTATAACCTTTTTTCTTCTTTAATTTGTTATTATACCTCTTTTAAATTTTTTGAGGATCGTTGTTTGTCTATAGAAGATTTTATCTTCTTTTTTTATTCTCAAAGTGACAAGAAGGCTTCCTGTGACCAATTTGTTGGCTTTTGGGATCAATTTTATATTGTTAATCCAATTCCATTCCATTGGTCTTATAATTTCTTTGATCTTGATTATCCTTCCAACTGTAATCTTCGTCATTTTATTTTCGTAGTTAATTCTCTTCTTTGGGAAGTGATGTTTCCCTTTTGGACCTCCAAGGTCTTTCTATTGATTCTGATTCTATTGATTCTGATTCTTCAGGTAAGAGTCTATCATGCAAGGAGATTTCTTGCACAGTGATCAATATTGGTTCTTCACGTACTGCTAGATCAGAGTAGTTAGATTTTATCTAACTCCCTGGTGGTAGTGCATGGCGATCGAATATTCTAACCTTCTTTTATTAACTAGATTCTAATTCAAATCCTGATGATCCTGAGGATAATTTTTTTGAATGCCTTCGGTCTAACTATGATCCTTATGAAATGTATCATTCCTCTGAGGAACATAAAGCTCTTTTGAATTATAAATGTCAGGCGCTTAATAAAGATATTCTTGATTTATATGATTACTATTTTGATGATACTGCCTCTAATCTTGGTGTTTGCGATAATGATTATAATTTAGATAGTGATTAACTTTGTATATATATTATTTTGTTATAATAAATATATTACTATTTCTTTTTGTTCTCTTTTTGACTTTCCCTCCATGCTTTGAGTTCTTCTAATTCATCATTGGTTCCTTGTGATAAAAAGTCTGCAGCAAGATTCTTTGCCCCTTCTATCCTATGTATCTTATAGTCAAAGTCTTGTATCATCATCAGCCAATTGTTTATAGTAGTTGCTTTACTTTGTGTTCTTTTCTGCGCAGTTATTCCTATTGTATCAGAGTATATATGTACTCTTTGACTTCCTATATAATGTTTCTATTTTTCCAAATGATATACTATCACATATATTTCTTTTTGTATTACTGGCCAATTCCTTTGTGGCTCTAATAAGGATGTTGATCCTATTTCTATTATTTTAATATTTCCTCATGGTGGTTTGGTATAGTCTTTTTTTGCCAAGATTTGTTCTTTAATTAATTCTTTTCATTTGATTTTATCTTTGACCTTTCAATAGTCTTGTGATTCATCTCCTATTTGGTATAATATTGCTCTAATAGCTTTGTCAGAGATATCTGTTTCTATAAAGAAGAGTTTATTCATGTCTGGATATGATAATGATAATACTCGCTTTAATTCTATTTTAAGCTTTTTCATTGCTTTTTGGCATTCTTCGTTCTAATCGAAGTCTTTTTTGCCTACTTTTTCATAGAGTACAGGTGCTATTTTCACAAAGTTTATTATGTAATATCTAAAATAATTCATAAATTCTAGAAAGCGTTGTAACTCTTGTTTAGTCTTTGGTATCACAAATTTGTCTATATTATCTATTTTTAATACATTTTTCTCTATATTCCCATGTGATACTTTACAATTTAGTATGATTGTCTCTTGTGCAAGAAATTCACATTTTGATGGTTTAATTTTTAGAGCTGCTTTTTTTAAGCATTCTGACATTCTCATTAGTTTTTCTTGTACTTCATTTTTATCTTTCAATAGTATCACCATGTTATTTATATATATTAGTATGTATTCTAAGTCTCTTAATATTTTGTTCATTGCTCTTATTAGGTATGCTGGTGCTGTTTGAATTCCAAATGGCATTCCTTTCCAACAATATGTGCCATATTCTGCAAATTGGGTTGCTGTATATTTTTTTGATGGCTCAGCTACTAGTATTTGCCAATAGGCTAATTTAATATTCATTGTTATATAGTATTTATATCTTGCTTCTTTGTAGCATTTGTTTAGTATCAGGTAATGGTTCTCTAAGAGGTAGAAGAAAACTATTTAGTTTTCTATAATCAATTGCAATCTTTTTTGTTCCATCTTTCTTTTCTATTACTACACAGGGACTTTGCCAATCTGTGTTTTCACTATATATTATTTCATTTTTTAGTAAATCATCTCTTATTTTTCGTATTACTATCAAGTCTTCTTCTAAATACTTTCTTCCACCTTGCATTTTATCTTTTAAGGATATTTTTCTTTTATCAATTTCTGGTTTAAATATAAAGTTTACTGGTTTAATCACATTTGGGTCTACAAATGTGTAAAATTTTTCTTTTTCTCGAAATATGTCAACATATTTGGTTAAAATATGTCTAATTAGTTTCCATACTTCTGGTTCTCCAGTTTTAAGACAGCAGTCTTGAAGGATTTTAATTCTTTTCTTTTCACTTTCGATGGTTTGTCGAAAGTTAGTAATTTTTGAAGAAAATTTTGGTTAATTTTTGGTTCAAAATTTTTTCACTTTTTTGCGTCAAAATTTTTAATTTTGACTTTTTTTCTATTTGCTATGTGTTGTCCTTTTCTAATCTCAAATTTTTTATCAGAATAATTCAGTATTGTTATATATTTTCTATTTGCTATCCCAGGCTGTACAATTATTGCTTCTTTGGCTTCTCTGGCTGTAGTTCCTATATAAAGATCATTTTTTATAGGTTTTTAGATTTTTATATGTTTTATAGTTATCGGTGGTATATCCATTTCTTCATTTGCTACTATTTGGTATTTAGCATTTTTCCCTTCTCATATAGTTAGTAATATAATATATCTAATATAAGTAGGATAATGTTCTTTTATTTCTTTATAAAAATTAAGATTTATATCTGTTATATCAGATATATTTCCTAGTATACCATATCCTTGCTCTGATTCTGATTCTTCATTTATTTCTGTTTCATGTTCAGCTAGATCTTCTAGATCTGCTTCTTGCTTTGCATTTTCGATCCATGCCTGTGCTGAATCTGTATGTTTATATACATCTCTTTAGTCATCATCTGTTAATGCTAACTGTCCTGTTTGTACTGGGTATAAGACTTTTTGTCCTTTCTATTCAGATTCTATAGTCTGTATCCATTTAGTTTCTCTTAGTTCATATCATAGGGATGATCTTCCTGCTTCATATTCATCATTTGGATCATATAATTCCTCTTGTTGATAGTTATTCTGACTATAATCATTGTAGTCGTTTGTATCTTCTTGAATATATTCGTCTAATTCAGCTATTTGTTGCGTATCTTCTTGTGTTAATTGTTCTTGTTCTGTTCGCCTGAATAGTTCTTGTCTTTGTTGATTTTCTTTTCTAAATTGTTCTAATCGTGAATTTCTTACTGAAGATGATTGATTTGAGAGTTGCGACCTTTGTCTTTTATGACCATATTTTGGTAATACCGGTTGGTCATTATCGCTTGTTGGTGCGTAAAGACTACTTGATTCTGATATTATATTAGTTGGTTGTACTTCTTTTATTAATAGTGATGATTTATGTTGATGTTGCTTAGAGTGGGATGATTGTATCGATTGCATTGAATTTCTTCTACTTAACATCTGTTGTGCTGCACTTAATGTGCCTTGCACCATTCCTTTTGCTTTATCAAGGAAGGTTGGTGATATTGGTGAACTTGGTCTTGTTGTTGTTCTTGATATTGTTTGTTCTGGTATTTTAGAGTATTGATTTTTATCTTGTTTATTTAGCCATTCTAATGTTTTTCTGAAGTTTTCGTCTAGTAGCCATCTATCTGCCATTTGTTCTGTTTTTCGCGGTTTGTTTATTGTTAGTAGATATTCTTCATGATATAAATATTTTGGTGATAATGTTTCTGATAATTCTAAGCCTTGTCTTCTGGCTTGTTGTTGTTCTTGGAACATTCATTCTTCTTCGTCTTCTATATCATGCATTTTATCTAAGTTTTTTAGAGATACTCCCAATAGTTCTCTATATTTTGCTTGGTATTGTTCTCATAATAGTTTACTTTCATATTGTTTCATTTGTCTGGTGAATCTTTCCATTAAGATTCGTTGTTCATACTCTTGCATTGCTTCAAAATCTTTTCTGTCCAAGTTTAGTGCTTGGTTAGTTGCATATCTATATTCTTCTTCTAGATCTTTTACTAAGTCTCTATTTTTCTAAAGAATAGCATCTTTTGTTTCTGTTAATGTGGATATTGTTTTGTATAGATAAGCTTTTTTGTCTTCAGCTGTTTCTGCTTTCAATATTTTTTTGTTTGTGACTCTTTCAATTTCTTGAATATGTTCATCAGTTTGTTGTCTTGTTAATTGAGAAATATATTTATAATTTGTTTTTATACTATCTAATCATTGTTTTAGTTATCTTAATCCTGTTCTGATTCTTGGATCTTCTTGTTCTTTTTCTAATTATAAGATTCGATCTAATTGTAACAATTGTATCTTAATAAATATTCTCATTTTCGGTGTTTTAACTTTGCTCTCTTCTTGTTGATTAAAGATAATATTTAAGCTTTTAGCTTTTCTTTTCTTATCTTTTTTAGTATTGTCTTTTCCTATTACTTGTTTTCTAAATTGATTTATTTCTCTTTGTGCGGCTTCTAGATAAAGTTAATTCAGTTTCTTTTCTTGTTTATTTTGCGGTGCTTTATGTTCCGCTACAACTGTCATTCATTGTACTTGTTCTGCGAGTAATGTTACTTCTGGGTCATCAAATTCCATTCCCAATAGAATTGTTATTCCTGATGATTCTAGTCCTTCATACTGGTTTTTGTGTTCTTTTAATTCTTGGTCTTTAGACCACTCTTCTTGGAGTGTTTCTTTCTGAAATGTATCTTCTGCCCATTCTCTTAGTTTAGAGATTTCATGTATTTGTGCTATTTGATTAGCTATTTTATTTGACGGTGTTTCTACTACCACAGCATAGACCTCTTTATACTGTATAATCATTAGATATACTTCTTGTTGTATACTTGCTTGTAGATCTAATAGGTGCTCATATTTGTCCATTCCTCTGCCGAATATTACTTCTGGTAGGCTGTTGTTCATGTGTACTAGCATGATTTTTTGTCTGTATATTCTTAATATATTTCGATATTCATCGATTCTCTTGCCTTGCCTTGCAGTATACCAGTGCTGTGTATCGAAGCATATGCCTATTCGCTTCTTTAGTCTTGCCTTATCTCTATATCTTAACTCTTGACTTGTACTATTCACTATATTCATGAGGTCTGAAATAGTTGCACCAAAGCAATTATTGCTAGCTGAGTTTTCTAATAGTAATCTGATATCCTATCAGTTCTTGTTTATTACGCGTAATATTTCATTAATATTATCGATCACGTCTGATCGTTTCTTATCTCTAGCTAAAGTATCTATATGTATTACAGCTCATCTAATATTCATTTTTTGCGCTCTTGCAAGCTCTTGTAATATCCTATTTATTTTCTAATTTCTCTTACCATTGTGCTATACAATGGCTGATTAATATACAAACCTAAAGTAATATGTAGTACCATTTTTAGCCCAATATTCTTGTTGCCCATTATAATGTTATTATCTTCTGTTTTGTCAGGTTTGCTATTTTGTAATTCAGCATATCTCTTTTCTTGTTCATTTTTGAATTGCCTATTTAATTTTTTATATGTTAGGAAGATTTGAAGAATATTAGAGTCTGTAGCTAAAGCAGTTCTTACTATTTTTGACTATCTGCTATCACAAGTGGTTTCTATTAATTTATTTCTGTGTTTATTTTTTTCTACTTGTTTCCTTAGCAAGTTGAGTTGTTTATTGAATGAATAGAGTATTAATTCATTGATTAATTTTTTATATTTGGGATTATGATATTCCTGTTCTACCCATTTTTGGGTACTGGGCGCCTTTTTTAATATTAGTCCTTGGTGACCAGTATAGTTTGGCACCATTCTTTGGTTGTGATAATCTGTTTTAGCTTCCACATTTGAGGTGTGAGTTCATGTATTTGTTGATACGTTGGGTGCTTTTCTTAGGTTTTTTTCTGATTTTTGAGGAGTATCTCATTTTTGAGATATTTGGCTAGCTTAGACTCGCTTAATCTCAAGATTCGGAAAGGTACCCAAGAAACTAGGTCATTACGAATAGAGACTTGATCATAATGCCTAAACCTCTTAGAAATTTGATAGTTTTCATCAATGTCTTGATAGTTTATTGGTTTACCATGTATAAGAATAATGCGTCTTTTTCGATCTTTAGATATATTTAATCATGCTTGATCGATTTCAGAGAGTAGAAGGTATGCTTGGTTTCCTTCAATGATTGTTACTTTAAAGTTTTCTTTATATCCATCTACTTAGAAAGGTACTGTAATCTTTCCGTAATTTTTGATTACTTTTCCTTCAAGTAATTGTGCTGTCCTGGTAGGTGGTTCTTTTAATAATTTGAATAGATTATATTCTTGTGCTAGATCTAACCCTATGATATTAGCACTTGCTCTCTCATCGAGTAACACTTTGATTGGTTGATTATTTATTAATGCTATAAAGTAATATACTTTTTTCTCTTTTGGTTCATTTGGAACTATTTGTGGATCTTTCACAAATTTATAATCTTTGAGTAAATATTGGTAATCAGGGTTTTCAGATGCTTTCTTTTTTATTTTCTTTGATA